ATGCATCAACCTATTACATTTTCACTTGTATCCGCACCCACTTACCCAATTAGTTTTTATGGCGCCGGTCGATCCAAATTCGTTTTAACATCTCATTTATCGAGTAATCGAAGATCTTAGGAACTAGAATTTATTGTTGGAATGACTCAATGCTAATGTACTACAGAATGGAAAATATGAAAATGTTCGCCCCTGCTATAGGATACTGTGCAACATTTTCGAAAACTAGCAGAAATTGCCAGCTACTTCCAACATCGAGCAGAATTCATGAGTCAACCCAGCACTATGAACAAAAAGAGAATAAGGAAACAGTTCTTTGGTCAGCAGTTGATAAAGGAAGCGATAAGAATCGATAAGGAGGAACAAAATGTCTATACATGAGAGCGGAGAGGAAATTTGCTTCATAATTATAAGAAAAAGCCTTTTCTAACGTTTGGTAGATATCACCTTTTCTAAAGTTTGGTAGAGTATCACAAGAGAAGAAGCAGCCGTGGACGATTACCCTCCTATCGAATATTGTTAGATCAAATAGTAGTAGTGAGCAGTAGGTCAGTCGGAAGGTTAATGTTGATGAAAACTGTGCTACCACCGATCAACTCCTCCAGAACACCTTTCTCTCTTAAATAATTAGTAAAGCATCCGATGAGTGTATGAGAAAACGGTGTCAGATAAGTGTTACCGAAATGCCAAGAAAGAGGGTGAAGAGGTAGATTCTTGCTCCTGTAGTATTCCATTCAATTCATAGAAACTCGGTAAAAAAAAGACCATCACCGTTTGCATGTCTAGTTATGCCGTGGTACAGAGTAGTATTTTTTATCATTGTCACCGTTACATAAGAGCTTTTAACATGGAAATTCAAACCTAAGCCCAAGGATCTCTCGACAAGACCCTCATTGTACTTTCTGAACAATTATTCCCCATAAAACTGTTCGAAGAACGAACATCTGCTGGTCCATTGAGGATATGGAGAATACGGAAGATAGAGACATATGCAATGACTAAGCCTGGCGATTTTAGAGATGTGCTGATTAGCTCTTTGCATGACACCCGCTTGTGAGAGGGCGTTCAGTGAGACTGAGAGTCCCATAGCAGAGAGGAAATATATAATTGCTGAAGATTTTTCGGAAAATTTTATCCTTTTCCTGAATACTGTAGCGTCTGAATGCGCCCGAACAAAACAGCACACCGAAAGTTTGTAAAAACGATAATTATAGATAATTTCCGGAGCTGAACTACATATCTTACTCATCGACATGGCACCTTTGGACCGATCAATGAGATTTTCGCATGTATAGCGATTGAATCGTTTATTGTCAATGCGACCGATGACAAATCAAAGGAATGTCTTCTACAGACTTGTAGTTAGCCAAGTATTTTTTGGTTCTACTTGATCACTTCTTCTATTAATAGCGATATTCCTGACCAAAAACATGAAAGATATCTGTGATCTTGCTGAAATCAAATCTTTCTAACAGTAAACAATGAAACAACAAAAAAAAAACAACAATCAAGTCATAAATAAGAAGATATAAGCCCCGTGATGATGGACTTCCGCGATGAAAGGATTCAAGTTGGTCTTTTGACGTTGAATGGTTGGTTTCTGGGATGGCTTCCCCGTATTCGACACTGACGTAGTGCCGATTAGAAAGTGTCCCATGCAATGAATTACAGTGTCTACCTAATGAACAAGTCAGCTTTTTATCCTCCCAGACGAGCCTGGTACCAATTAACCGACCTCAAAGGGAGAAATGGCTCAATTGGCATGGACGGATCACAAGCAAGGATTCCATTTCCGGACCAAATGCCGGTGACGGATAACGCGCGTCACTATTCCCTTCACAACACCAGCCCTATCTCGGTATATCCAAAGTGTACGAAGTGCCATTCAGGATCGAAAAGGATAGCGATTCCCGTTTCCCTAAATACTGCAATCCCCTCCAACAGGTGATGTGATCGACCTATCTACAGAGCCAGATTCTTACCCGGTATTTCAATTTCTCAAATGCCCTTGCTCTGAAGGCTCGACATTCCTGAAAAATACGTTCTTCAAATAGAAAACAGCGAGATCGCATGAGCCCACTTACGAAAGCATCTCTTGGTACGGCTTTTATAAATAGGTATTGACCGAGTAGAATTGAAGGATAATATGTGCAAACCATTCGAGGTGAGTAGAAGCTGATAAATGAAGGCCACCAGATGAATCTCCTAAGTGATATAGAGAAATCTTCTATCATATACTGTTTACCGACTAGACTTTTTCTACAGATCACACCCCATTCAGACTCGGTCTGGCTACCGTTCCCGCTGGCTATGGATGGTTCCTTGTCCCCTAAGTTGAAATTCCTCATCAGGGTTCTTTCTAAGCTAGCGGCTGCCAATTCTCCAACTACTCCTTCTCCACTATTCCGTAGAAGCAAATTTTCTAGGACTATAGGGAGAATAGGTTTTTTTTTGCCGAATCTCGAAGAGGCAAATCAACTGTCCCGTTTTTATTACGGTAGACCACACCAAGTCGCTAAGTCATTGTAAGCTGATAGTGCAAAGTAAGATTTCATATTTATTATATCATTCCTAGAAGTTTCTGTTGATGATAAATACATGGACAACGAAGAGTATGATGAAGGTTGTGAGTGGGTCACAGATAGTCAGCTAGTTAAGGCTAATAAAGGATTTCAGTAGTCAAAGCCCTTTATTCCTATCCATCTTTTGTGTCCACGATTAGCTTTGACACTTCAATATGATCCCTATGATGTTAAGGCATGGTAGACTAGCTTGACAAAAGCTCTGCGCAGCGGCAAAGTTCATTCTGAGCCCAAAAGGGCTAAATGTAAGGGTATCTTATGAAGCTTTCTGTGCGAAATAAAGAAGCATCATCTGCACAACAAGGCCTTAATACGATCAGACAGTGATTTCCCCAGTGAGAGGCTGAAGAGAAGGTTGGCTCACAAAAGCTGGTCCCCCCCTCCCCCCCGAAGAAATTGTCTACGGAAATGCTGTTCACCGACGAAAAGATATCCGCAGTGAAAAAGGTGCCCAGTAAGCAGGGCGACAAAATTTGTATGAGGTTCAAAGGAATGGAAGTGATGCAGCGTTAGGCTTGCTCACTTTCTGTGATATCCTTTGCGAGCATCACCGCCGAGGCTCCGATTATTTTTGTAAAATAAGGAGTGATAGTTGATTTCGAGGCCTGTTCGATCTCTTCATGCGCAATACGACATTTTATCCATTCAAACCGGACATATTGTCGAGTCGAAGCTCCTGACCGCAAATCAGAATTTGTCTAGGAACCTCGTAAAAGAGGTTCCCTGACTTAATAATCTTCGATCAGTGACCAATCTAGAGCCCTGACCTAAATCCAATGTATGTCTCAGTGTAGTCACCCTTTGAGATGAAAGCATCCGTTAGCCCGATCAAAAAGTGGAATAGTCCCGAAAAAGCCTTGCAAAGGCCGGGATCAGCTCGATGACCTCAGCTGCGTGCCACCGTCATATTAACTTTCTATTCGTTTTCGGGAATGCGATGTCTGTGTAACCATAATTTTGGCCCACCCTTTATACAGTGTGTGTCAGTGCGTACGTGTGGGTCCTGGTGCGAATAGCTGACGACGGTAAGCAAAAATTTATTCACTTATAAGCAAAGTTAACAAAAAAACCCTAGTATCAGCAAATAGCCCAGCTTTTTTAGCCTATTAGTGTAGAAAATTAAATAAGGGATCGCAGCAGCAAAAACAATAACAGAGAAAAAGAATGGGGGAAACACCGCCTCACCAATCAGCGATCAGCTAATTTGTGTGGGTCCTAGTAAATATTGCAATCTGTATCACCTCGACACTTGTCTGACGCGACATCGACCGAGGGGCGGGAAGTCCTGGCGATCCGGTAACGGAGCTCCCATTATGCCCTAGCTGTTGAGTTTTAGGACTCGACAGCGTCCTTCCTATTACCCTTGGGGNGGGGCCACTGCGTATTCCTCGGGGGAGAACTCAGAAACCATTTTTATCGTGAACTGTACCTTTAATCCAACCACTAGTTATCCGAAAATCTCAACTAATAACCCATATTCATAAAAATGCAATGGTTGAAGGGTCATAAACAACGACTTCTGATAACGGTGTTACCATCAGTCAACAACTGTACGCACCGGTAAACCCAATCAAAAGAAGACAGTATCACTGACAAACTTTGAAACGACGAACTTTCTACACTACCTCAACTTGTTATAGAGATACATTTTAAAGCATCAGCTCCACTCGATAGAAAAATCTGAGGTCGATGAAAGCATTGCTGACACATTTTGCAGCGATAACAACTCAGATCAAAGCGGTATGCACTGGAATCGGGTGTCATGCTACGCTCCTACCATTCTTCCATATTGGCAATGTTGTGGGCTAAGACGGCGAATATGGCAGCCGTGTACTTGATATCATCTTCTTTGAATATTGACACGTAATCAGCATTGGAGTGGTGGAAGTTGAAATAGTAGTCGTTTCCTGAATAGCAGTTGAACAGTCAAACTACCACCCAGACAGGGAAACGGCGGTTCTTGCATGGTTATGGCTAGAGACTTCATGAAAGCTCTACCAGGTCTCAAAGCTCAATGACGTGCTCCGAGAGAAATCATCAAAAAACAAAAATTAGTCGTCTCATGGGTATCCTACAACTAACACTTCAGGGTCCACACTATTAGGGAAGGACAAAGCACTCATACATAGTGGTTACTAATGCTGTTCCAGCAAAATGGCCACATGTTTCACAGCGCATCCTCTGGGAGCCATATAATTTGGAAAGAAAATTTCTTGGGCAGTTCATGGACGAATTTCGAGATTTCCAGGAGATTATAAGAAATAGGAAAAACAAAATAGGACTAATCACAATAATTTCTTCAAATCCCTAAAGGCACCGTTAACGAATAAGTGGTTTCGAAGATATGCACATGCTTAGAATTCTAAGCCCCCTCTGATAACATTTGTGCAGGAATTAGGTCGGAAAACGGCTGGATAGGGCACAATAAGGCCAGGAACAGTGGGGGACGGGAGGCCTCCGCCCCTCGTTAGGCTGACTACGTGTTCAAGTTGTCCTTCACCACATTCGCACTGGAGCGAAGTTGGTGA